GTGAACCACCACACCCAGCCTATTTTTATCTTTAGATTACATTTTTCCATGAACCTTTTGAAATCCCCTCTATGATTTGCTAGAAGAATCCATCAGCAAGTGGGCAACAGGAGCTTTCTTGTGCAGGAGGGAACAGGATGAATGGGGTCCCAGACCCTCCAAACCCTGCCCCCTCTCTCCCTTCAGCCTCTACAGGGCCTTACCTCCTTGCCTTGCTTGGAGAGATGAGAGATCCGCCTCTTCTGCCCGGGGAACAAGGTGGTCAGACCCAAGTTTGCCTTCTCCTCGCTCCTTTCTTCCTCGGGGAGCTACAACACACATCCCTTCCTCAAAGTGGGTCTCCCCCTGTGTTTCACCAACCCCCAGAACCAACACAGACCCTTTTTTCCTCTACCCTGGCCTCAAATTGCCCTCTGGCAAGTGAAGGATAGAACTCTACAGACCTCAACCAACACACAGGGATTAAAGCAAGAAGGTATCAACAAGCCTCCGGGCAAGGACAGCCCTGTCTTTTGGAGAGGACGCCCAAACTAAGCATTCCGAGGGCCTTCCAAGGCCTCACCGAGTTATGCCCATGCCCAGGGCCCCCTTGGTCAGGATGACACTAGTCTCCAGAGGCTGAGGGGCCACGGAACTGACCACTTGTACCACTCAGAAGGGGGTTCTGGCCTGGCCTGGCTTTGTTTGAGGTGAGCTCCCTCTGGTGGCTGACATAGGGATACTGGACAAGGACACCCAGCCAGGTCAAGGCTGGTCCAGAAGAGCAAAAGCTATGCACCCAGGGAAGGAGAGTGCGGTAGAGGAGAGGGACTCTGGGGGTGGAGAGGCTGGGGGGTTGGGGAAAGGGAGAGACTCGGAGAGGGAGGAGGCTGGGGGTACGGGTGGAGGCCTGATACCCCTTTGCTGGTCAGTCGGAACGGGTCAGTCCGAGCGCTGTTGCAGGAGCCTGGCCAGGCGGCTGTGAGCCAGCGTCCTCTTTCTGGATGGGTGCGGGACGGTGGGCGGCCACCGAGGGCTCCTGAGTTTTAAGCGAGTTAAGGGGCCAACACTGAAGGCAGCATCTCTACCCGGCCAAAGACCTGGAGTCATCTGGAAACAGCTCCAGGACAGGATGCCCCTCACCAGGCCTTGGTCATGGTGGCCTGCCCTGGAGCCCAGCCTGGACGCCCAGCGCCCTCACCTGCCGGGCCAGCCGGCCCTTGTCCTCGGTCTTGACAGTGGTGGACTCGTTGAAGATCCGTAGGCACTCCTCCATGGGATCTGAGTCGAAGTCCACCTCCTTCTCCAGGGCTGAGTAGTCTACCTCCTCCTCTGCGCCCTGCCCAGTGCCTGAGGAGGAGGGGGAGGAGGAGGAGGATAACGGGGCGGGGGAGGAGGGCAAAGAGGCCTTGAGCCGCTTGGGCAGCCCCTGCACCTCTGATAAACCCAGGCTAGAGTCTGAGTCTGAGTCTGAATCTGAGCTGAGGATGGGCAGAGCAGGAGCCCAGACCCTCGGCACCCCTGGCCCTTCAGCCTCGTCCTCGCTCTCATCCCCAAAGAGGTCAGCATGGCTCAGGGCCCGCTTCTTCAGCTTGGGGGTACCCTGAGAGGCACCCTCGTCCAGTGAGCGGGCCTTCCGCTCCACCAGCTTCCCTGATAGGGCTTTCCCACTGCTTTTTCTGTCGGGCAGCTGGGGGTTGGGGGCACATCTGCTGGATGCTGGCTGGGAGTCCTGAGGCCGAGGGTCCCCCCTGGAGGGACTCAGCTGCCGCCCTGGACGATCAGGCCTCCCTTTCCCTGAGCTGGCCACCAGGGTGGCCGAAGATGGCTTTTTCTTGGTCCTTTCCAGTTGCTCTGCTCCATGCCGGGAGCTGCTGGCCTGTAGGCCCTTCCTGTCCCCAGGGGGCTTCTCTCCAGGCTGCCCTCGGCCTTTGTCCTTGGTCTTGTCTTTTTTCCGGGCACCATCCTTGTGGCCAGAGGCTGGTAAGGTCCTGCTCTTCTTCCTCTTGTGTTTTCCCTCTTGGGAGCAGCCCCCATCCTGCTGGGACGCCTTGGCTGGGGAAGTGGGCTTGGTTGGGGGTGCCCCACCTGGGCTCTTTGGCGGTGGCTCAAGGTCTCCCACATCACACTGCACAGCTGTCTCCTTGGTCTCCCGCAGGCCACTTCCCTCAGCTTCTAGGGCCTCTTTGCAGGATGGCTGCCTAGGGGCCTTGCTCTCAGGGTCAGCCCCAGCTTTGGCAGGGCTGGTCGTGGGAGGCCCATCACCTGGAGCCATGGCGGTATCGTCTTCTGAATCCGAGAACCTGGCATCACAGCCACCAAAGGGGTCACAGGGCTTCTTGAGGGCAGGAGTGTAGGGCTCACTGCCACGGGAGCCCCTAGGCCGTTTGATGGCCCTCTCGTCCCTGCAGGTGGCCCTGCCAAGGTGCCGGGCCGAGTAGTTGGACAGTGGGTCATATTCCAGGTCTGTGGATGGCTTGGAGTTATCCACCACATACTTGCTGCTGGGGACAGGGCGGCTGTGCCGTCGTGGTTGGCTCACAGCCTTGGGTACATACTCCAGGGCACTGCAACCCCCTCCACCTCGACCTGGGCCCCTCTCCAGGGAAGCCAGCGAGTACTTGCTGCCTGGCTCAGCAGGGACAGCCAGTGGGGTGGGCTGGTAGCTGGCGCCAGGATTTAACAGACTGCAACCACTGGGGTTGTAGTCAAAGGCCAGAGGGAAGGCGTCCTCATCCAAGCCCACAGTGGGGCTAGGGGTGGGGCCTCGGGGGACCAGGGTGGGTGCCTCTCCTGAGCTGTACTCTCGGGCCGTCTCCAGCAGCTCAACCTCACTGCGCACAGCCTCAATGGCCTGGTTGACACGCTCCAGCTCCAGCATGTCCGAAGGCGGCTCATCCCCCTGGCCCAGGGTGCCATTTTCCCTGTGTTCAGAGGGCTTGGGGAGCTCAGGGTTGTAGGGGTCATAAACCAGCCCTGAAAGGGAAGAGGAGAAAACAGCCAGTGAGCAGCCAACAGAGTCTGCTCTGCTGGCAATGCCCATATTCGAATCCCTGGAGCCTGTGGATACCTCAGACAGCAAAAGTGACTCTGTTGGTGGAATTAAACCTTCCTCATTTATTTTGTAAATATTTTGTGAAATTAAAAAAAAAAAATCCTCCCTCACTGATGGGGATGTGAACACACTGAGCATTCTGGAGAACAAACAGTAACAACTTTGAGCAGTTCAAATGTTGTGACCCTTAGACTCCAAATTCTAAGAATCCATCCCCCGGACATACCCACACAGAGGTGGACGTGCAGACATGCAGATGTTCAGATGTGTAGATGTTCAGACCTATTGTAGTACTCAATGCAAAACTATAATGGTAATAATAATATTAAAGAAGTGACCTAAAAACCTAAATGCAGGGTGGCGCAAAGGAGTAGGGCGCCAGCCTCATATGCCAGAGGTGGCGAGTTCAAACCCAGCCCTGGCCAAAAAAAAAAATCTAAATGCAAGTCGATTGGGTTAAAAGGGATGAGTGTGCCCTGTATTGATCTCTAAGTCACATGGTTACACAAAAAAAACAAAAAGCCCACCAAGGTAGAGATGTCAAATCATCACTGTACATTTTCATAATAAACATGAAATCAGCAATTTGAATACAGGTCCAGCCAGGTCCACATCACACCAAGCCAATGGTCCCAATCTTAAGCAGAGGGAGGGCCCTTCTCCATGACAAATACAATCTTGTCTTACTGTGCTCTCTCACACCAACTGCCAAGAGGGGTTTGAAATGTTGACAGACACACATCTAGAGACTAACAGTGGAGCAGTGTAACATGATACCATGCCCTCAAATGCAGACAGATTGGTGGCTGCCCTGTGAATATGCTAGCACCACGATGTCACCCAATTCTAACTTGATTCTGTTGGAATGTATATATCTCTGTATTTACTGGCAGGTGTGTGGTCTACTCATAAAATCTGTATCCCTTTGGCCTACCAGCAGTTCCACTTCTATAGCCTAAGGACATGCCCCCTTGTGCTAAGACATCTGTGTAAAGCAAAGGCAAGAGGGGTATGCATGAGGCTTTTGTGTTGAGAACAGAACTGGAAAATTCTCTAAGTCTACTCTGCCAGGACCCAGGCAGGTGTAGGAAATAACTAGTAGGTTTCCCTGCACTGCCCCCCAAGACCTAGCTGTGTAGGCAGAACTAAGCAAGTCTACACCCAATCCCTGAAACCTTGTGGATATGTCACTTCACATGGCAAAAGTGATTTGCAGATGGAATTAAGGATCTTGAGATAGGAGATCATCCTGGATTACCTAGGAGGCCCAGCATCACCACAGGGTCCTCACACAAGGAGCCAGTCAGAGGCAGAGACTGGAATATGATGGGCTGCTGGCTCTAATGGTGAAAGAAGAGTTCCCGAGACGAGGGATGTGGGTGGCCTCTAGACTCCAGAGAAGGTGGGAGATGGGTTCTCCTGTGGGAGTCTCCAGGAGGATCCTGCCCTACCACACCTTGATTTTATCCCAGAAAGACCATGTAGAACTTCTGACCCCTATAGCTGAGAGAAAAGAAATGTGTTTTTTTGTTTGTTTTTGAGACAGAGTCTCACTCCATCACCCTTGGTAGAGTGCTGTGGCATCATACAGCTCACAACAACCTCCAACTCCTGAGCTTAGGTGATTCTCTTGCCTCAGCCTCCCAAGTAGCTGGGACTACAGGAACCCGCCACAACGCCCAGCTATTTTTTTTGTTGTTGCAATTTGGCTGGGGCCGGGTTTGAACTCACCACCCTCGGTATATGGGGCCGGTGCCCCACCTACTGAGCCACAGGCACCACCCAATATGTGTTGTTTTAACACACATTTGCCACATGTCTGTTGGTGGCAATTAGCTAGCTATAGCACCCACAGGAAGTTTATGCAACATTAGGCTGTGATAAAAACGCAATGAGAAACTGCACAGCTGGCCGCCCTTCTGTGAGAATGCAAGATGGAACTTCCTGTTCCTGGTATGTGTAAAAGGACACTCTGTAGGTTCAGTGGTCAAGCTTGGGTGGCCTATGAGGTCCAGAGCAGTAGGCAGGAGTCCACTGTGAGCATGTTGCTTTGCTCTTACCTTAAAGCCATGTGTTGGGCCCACTTTTAAAATTATATTCAGAAATGAGAAAAGTTCAGATGACTAGGAACACAAAAGGGTAGTGATAGGGCCACAGGCTGGGGACTGGAAGGTAGGGATCACACAGAAATAGCCATAGATGCGGTGGCAATGGTTGGGGCCTCTCCACAAGGCAGAGGCTACAGCCAAAGCCTTTCTGGGGCATCAGCAGGCCTACAGGTGAGCCCATCCCTTCCTCAACTCAGCTGAGAATGCTGAGACTCTGGCAGGGCTGGGGGTGGGGGGTCAAGAAGCTCAGCTGCCACAAACACAGTCCTCCCACCCATCCTGGGGAGGGACAGCACAGGTCAGGAAGGTGCTGCAGGCAGGGCCAGGGCTTCCCTTGCAGCTGCCTCACCGAAGGAGGCCCAGAGAACTCAGCACCAGAAGTCCTGGCTGCCCAGTTCAGTGGAGCAGTCATGTCAAGGCCACCCAGCCAATGAGTTAGGGAGAAACAGGTGAGGACTCTTACTGGGACATCCACCAAGGAGGCAAGATTGGGTCAGTGACAGGCCTCACATAGCCACTGGCTTCGCAAGGCTCCAGGTGACACTGCCTCTGCACCCACACCCTGCATCAGAGGGTAGGGCTAGGGGCAGAGCCTGCCCTGTGGGGCATAGGTTAGAGAGAGATTGGGCCCTAGTAAGGGGACTGAGGATCTGAGAGTGAACAATACAGAAGTCTGTCTCCTTCCTAAACCTTTCCTGAGCTCTGAGACACAGCCTGCAAGATCAATCCTAGCCCACCGGAAGACACAGACCACCTACAAGTCACTCAGAAGACAGAAGCCCTCCACAGAAGAGAAGAGTTCAGACTTCCCAACATTATGGATTGTGAAAGGAGAGATATAATTTCCTCCTAAAGGTTCTTCTAGAAGGTCCTGGAAGGTAGGGTGCCCACCTCCCAGTAAGCCAGAACCTGCAGAGGCCCTGAAGGGTATATGGGTATGCCAAGCAAGCAGGGTCTGAGTGGGGGCTTGTTTTCTAACAGGGAGCCTTGGCAGTGTTTGTTTAAGGGCAGTTAAACCTGTTATACTCCCAAGAAGGATGCACCAAAGGTGAAAGACACAACTCTAGGCTCGGCATCTGTAGCTCAAGTGGCTATGGTGTCAGCCACATACACCAGAGCTGGTGGGTTCGAATACAGCCCAGGCCTGCCAAACAATGACAACTACAACCAAAAAATAGCCAGGGGTTGTGACGGGTACCTGTAGTCCTGAGGCTGTGATGCCACGGCACTTACCCAGGGTGACAGCTTGAGGCTATGTCTCAAAAAAAAAAAAAAAAAAAAAAGACACCACTCTAGGTGGGCCTGAAATGAAAAGTCAAGATCGAAACCCCCATGAAACCTCCCCTGGCCTGCAACCTCAGTTTCCCACTAGTGCTGTAAGGCAGCATCCTGGCCTGAGCAACCCCAAACAGGTCTGGAAGCTTCATGTGCACAACCGCCAGGGAATTAGCTGTGGCCGCCTATGGCTTAAAATTGGGCACATGAGGTCCCTGAGCTCCACAAAAGTTTCCTAAGGCCTGGTGGGATCAGGTGTAGAAGGTACACAGTGCTTGGGCATCCATGGCCACTCCATACCTGCCACAGGGCTGGGTCTTCTGAGGGATTTGTCAGGACTGTAGAGGCTCCCCAAGAGAATGTTCTACAGGCTATGGCCCCAAGAACGCACCTGAGGGGCAGATTCTGAGGTGGGAGGGCCCACCAAGGTGAGTTCTGCTCCCATCAGGGAACTGTCCTGGTTAGAAGTAGATGGAAGCAGTCCTAGGGGGCAGATGGAGCAAGTCTTGGGTGACTTTAAAACCTCTCTCAAAGGCACAGCTTGGAGAGTCCCCCTTTCCTGCCTCACCCCAGAGCCAGGACAGGGAAGGCACCCTCAGACCAGCAGTCACATGTGCCGGTGCCTGATATCCCAACCCATCTCCTGTGACCTGCTCCTGGGAGCCCTGGGATGGCCAACCATGGACAGGAGTCCTGGGCATCAAGTCTATGGCTAGTGCTCTCGGCTGAGGAGCAGCACCTGTCCCTGAAAACCTTCCCTAAGCCCAGAAACACCTCACACAGGTGCCCTCTGCCCTCAGTTCCTGCCTGACCACTGCACTCATCTGTGCCCTCATGTGCCATCCATAGGGGAGGGAACTCATGGTCCCAGCCATGGGCACTGAGGCCCACACGTGGGATGAATGGCTCAAAGGCAGGGAGAATGACAAGATGACTGTCCAGGTGTGATGGCTCAAGGCTGTAATCCCAGAACTCTGGGAGGCCAAGGTGGGTGGATCCCTTGAGCTTAGGAGTTCCAGACTAGCCTGGGCAAGACTGAGACTCCATCTGTATTGAAAAAAATAGAAAAACTAGCTGGATGTGTGGCAGGCACCTGCAGTCCCAGCTACTTGGGAGACTGAGGAAAGAGGATCTCTTAATAGCTAGGCATTGTGGCGGGTGCCTGTAGTCCCAGCTATTCGGGAGGCTGAGGCAAGACAACCGCCTAGGCCCAGGAGTTGGAGGTTGCTGTGAGCTGTGTGATGCCACAGCACTCTACCAAGGGCAA